ACGAGTATCGGCTAACATCGGCCGATATAAGAGAAGCACCTCTTGGCGTCGTTGTCAACTACATTAAATCTGTAGGCTGGCTCACGAGCTAGGAGGTGCCTATCATCTTAGGAGGATGCAGAATGGGCCTAGTGAGGCCTAAGTGCCGTAAGTATTGGTTATTTTGTATTTTGGGTAAAACGTAAAACATTAAATAAAATGTTTGTCGTTGAAATATTATATATGAGACAAAAAGAAACTAAATAAATTTAGGAGAATAAATGTTACTTTTTCCAATAAATTTCAAAGTTATAACTAGTTTTAACTATTTAATTCTTAGATACTAAATATTTAACATTGTATTACAAAGTTGTAAAATTTTAAAGTAAATTTTATCTAAAAAGCATGAATATATAATTTTGAATCAATTATTTTAGCTCCAATTAAAAATGATCACAGAGTTTATTGATTTCTACCAAAAAATAAAAAATTGGTATCTACCTACGTGACAAAAATATTTCGTTATCTCATATTTTAAAATATTTACAAGAGCAATATTCTTTAGAAAATTACTGTACCGTTTACGATATGAAACCCAAAATTTAGAGGATTAAAATATACCCTTCAGAAAATCCAATTTTTCAAAAGGTTCAACTAGTGGACACTAATCCCATTACCTCTGGCCAAGCAAAAAGGCGGTTGGATGAGACCCCCGGGGTCAGAGTATTAAAATGTTTTACACAATTTAGAGAATTACCAGCTATTTACAGGATTACAAGTAAACTAACGAGATTTTTATTAAGTCATAATACTTTGCTGATAGTGTTTAGAAGGCCACATCAGAGGTCTTATCGGGGTAAGAGTTTCTTTGAAGAATCCTACTTACTCGACAATTCTGAGGAATTGAAATACGGAAAGTATGTAGATAATTTCTGGGTTTATTTTGACCATCGATTTAAGGGTAATAAAATTTAGGTAGGCACACCACATCAAATATTTTAAAATTACTTAGGTACTTATTAGGAATGTAAATAAATTTTATTTTTGAAAAGCAATAAGCTTATGGTAGGAAGTTAAACAATAAAATACTTTTGAAGTGTTGTTCTTCTGTTATTCTCTATTCTTTTATTGTATTAACGTTTTCTAATCGATTTGATTTTCCTATTATGAGTTTTCCTCCTTTTCATGATTAGTTGCGCCCTATCACAAAACGTGGATTCCTATATTTACTAAATGTGTTTAGTGAAACCTATGAAAAAGTTAAAGGATAGCAAAACCTGCAATTTTTAACTACAAACAATATTGCTACAACATGGGTCTCACCACATAGAGCTACACTGAGAAAAAAGTGTTCTGTTTATCTATAGGTGAATTTTTTAATATTATCGAAATTAGCTCTTATTAACACAATGTCGCTAATACTGTTACTGAGAATCTCATTTCGTTTAACCCAAGTTCTATTGTTGAAGGTTTTGCAAACTTCTTTAAAAGTGTCTATATTCCAACACAATGTATCGCTAACAAGACCACATTTTAAAGGCAATCAATAAACTTCCAAATGAATTCACAAATAAAAGTGAGAAAATTCCTAGTTTCTTTTAAAAGATTGTGCTAATATGCTTGTAAGACCTTTATTAAAAATTTTTAATCTAATTGTCCAAGTCTGTATTTCCTGATGTGTAGAAAGTAGTTAGAGTATGTGTTGTGTTCAAAAATGGGGATATTATGAATATCAAAAATTATCGTCCCATATCCATTTTAAATAATTTTGCCAAGGTTTTGGAGACATCAGTGTATAACCTAATTTATGCTCAAATAAATTGTCTTATTTTAACCAATCAGCACGGTTTCATGCGACAAAGATCTACTTCGAATCTTCTAAAAATTACTTAGTATATAGCCGAAGCTGTGGACAATAAACAACAGGTTGATGTCATATACACTGATTTCTCCAAGGTTTTTGACAGGATTGACCACAAAATATTAATTCATAAATTAAATAATTTTGGTTTTAGTGCTCCTCTCATTACATTAATAAAATCATATCTACACAACAGAGGACAATTTGTTGCTTACAACGGTTGTTATTCTAGAATATATTGCCCTACATCAGATGTTCCTCAAGGGTCTAATTTGGGACCCTTTTTGTTTTTATTATTTATCAATGATCTCTTCACATCATTAGAGTGTAAACATTTATTATTTGCTGATGATTTGAAAATTTACTCAAATGTGACTTCTCAATTACACTGTTTATTTCTACAAGAAGAATTGAATAAAATCTCTTTCTAAATTTGAATAAATGTAAAATTTGTACGTATGGTCGCAAACTCCGTCTGGTTTTGCATGATTATCAAATAAATAACACATCTTTATTAAGGGTTACGCAGATGCGAGATCTTGGAATCATATTTGATTCTAGTTTGCAATTTGTAGGACATATTAATAATATAGTTTCTCAGTCTTCTAAAGTCTTAGGATTTATTATAAGAAATTGTGGAACTTTTTCTAATGAAATTGCTCTAAGAACAAAACAATACTTTTTTTACTTGCCTTGAACAAAAAAGGTACTAAAGCATAAAAAGTAGCACTGAGGTACTGACAATGGCCAAAAAGCACTGATTTTAGTAGTTTATTACTGACACTGGCAACGCTGTATCCCTGAGACTCTATTTGCATACATTGTTTGATGGATGCTTTGCACAATGCCTTAGTATACGTAAGGGTTCTTGAACTAGTTCGCCTACTATTCTTCGTAGCCTGGTATCATAGCTAACGTCACTTTGTTTTGACTATTTGGCTTTGTTAGGTCTTCCAGTCAAAATTTCAGCAGTTGTAATTTGATTTCTGTTGAGAGAATTGCCCTTAGAAGCTGCTTAGCTATCAGAGTAGATACAAATAGATTTGCCTAATACTAACTGATTTATTATTTCCCTTCCACAATATTGTGTGGCTATTTATTATTTCTGCCTGGAACACTGTTGCGTCTTCTCCTAGATTCAATGAAAACGTTTTTGATTTGGGTCCAAAATTTTAGAACCGGTTCCATCTTTGATTTTTGAGTCAGTTACATATCTTTTAACTTAAGTAGTTGCAAAATATGTCACTTTATGTGCCATAATTATAATAAATAAAAGAATGTGATTTGTATATAGTATACGGATTCAGAAATTGCAACGAAGACCATTCAAGCCAAACCAACGTAAGTGAAAATAAAGAAGAAGTCGCATGTACCGTGAGCGAGGTCACAGAATAAGTAATGCACTGTCTAGTGGTCTTTGTTTCTTACGTGGTCGTAATATACCTTGTAACATTAATTGTAAAAAAGAATTTTTAGTAATTAATCTAAAAATTATAATATATTTTAAACTGCTTCTTGTTTCAGCCAAAAGCAATACATTGTTAAAAAAGGGCTTCTAAATAATAAAACATTGGCTGCATACCGTCTGGGTAAAAATTATTTTTATGTATACTTTTTAGTAATAAAAAAATATTCTTTTCCAATTTCGCCTTTTTCGTACAGAAGTCGCCATTTGTGAGTTGGTTCACTATTTTTTCAAGAACGATTTATTCAATACATATGTCTGCACTTTATACATAGTACATATGCCCCACAAACATATAGGGGTGGTAGGAGATATGAAAATAAATATTTTTTCATAATAAACGTATATTTGAAAACTGAATGTTTCCGATAATGTACTTGCCAACTAAGCACGCCTATGGAATATTCATAGATCCAATTAATTTAGGTATCAACAAACTAAAGATTTCATTGAAATCAGTTAAAACGTTTTTAATACCCTGTATTTCGAAAACAAAGCGTTTTTCGACATATGTTTATAAGGAGAAAAACTGTTTGTTTTCAGGTCTTCTACTACTCCTATATCTTGATATAGAAATTTCTAAATTATTAAAAATTTTATTATCTTGTCCAAAACTCCCAAAGGAAATGAAATATTAATTACCAAATAATTTTACCACAAAAAAAATGAAAATGTCTTCTGTCCTCTATCTTCTCTTCCAGCCGCTGTCCATTTTATTACTTAAATACCACCGGGTTACTATTAATTTCCCGTCATCCTTGTCTCTGTACTTTTCTTCCATTCTCAAACATCTTCTACTGCTCCGTTCAGTCCGCTCGCCATAAACATTTTGAATAAATTAATTAACATCCGCAACTCAAAAACAATCCACCACTTTTTCATTTCTTTTTCCCCGTGTGACATCCTGATTTCTCAAGTTAAATTCTAATTTTAAGCAACTTCACTACCCCAGCATAGAGCATACATTTTGGTGACGTCAATTATTTCCATATTAATGTGTGCATTTACGGAATACCCTGTATATCTATAAACTAAATCTCCGATAATAAATACAAAAATAAAATAATTAAACATATAAAGTCTTATTTATGAGAAATAAGATGTGTTCGATTCATAATAATAAACATTTTCGACTCCATGAACTATCTCTTCCGCAACCTCTATATAAACAACACCGTTATAAGTGTGCAAATAACCATTATTCAAACTTCAATACCAACTAAACTAACAATAAACTGTTTCACGTTTCAATCGCCTAAAAGCAGAAAGATTTAACCATATAATATCGTCTATTCAAAAGATTTACAATCCGCTCCTGCCCTGTGCAAACCAAAAATTCTGTCTTGCTTCAACGCAACTTCGGCCACCCTTTGTCCTTGTCTAATACATAAATCGCACATATCTCACTTTCATTCACCAGCGGCGAATATTTTTTTCTCCCTCCATGACTAGTCAACAAGATTTTCCTGTCTCCGTCGCACTTTTGGGTTAGCGTGTGGCACCGTCTCTATCGTCTATGTATTATAAAAGTTCGGCCAAACGCACAGACTTCGCCCCTCTCGCTCGTACCTGGGCCGCGGGCTGAACTTTCTCTGTCTTTGACGGTCTAGCTATTTAAAAACTACCCTCCTTTAGAGTAGTGGGAGGGGAAGATCCCTAAACGTTAATATTCTGTCCTGAAAAAGTTAGGAATCAGTGTTTCTCTTGGATTGAGAAGTGTCAGACCATTGAGAAGTGTTTTAAAAATTGCGCACACGTAAAAGTAGTTCTGTAAATCTGTAATGCATTTACCGAGCAATCACAACTTATCGAAGATGACGGATATGTACACCTCCTTGCAAGAAACTCTCCAAGAATACCACGGCGAACTGGTTCAGACGGGCAGCCCGGCTATTTTGTGTAGTGTTTTACCAACGCATTGGCGGTCTAATAAAAGTTTACCTATAGCTTTCAAAGTCGTAGCTTTGGACGATGTCGTAGACGGTACTACGGTGACTTTAAAAGCCGGTAACGACGAAAACTATTGTGCCGAGTTGAGGAACCATACCGCGGTTATGAAAAATCAAGTTGCTAAGTTTAATGACTTGCGATTTGTCGGTAGATCCGGTAGAGGAAAAAGTTTTACATTGACAATTACTATTAGCACCGGTCCTTTTTATCAGATGGCTACGTATAATAAAGCGATTAAAGTGACTGTAGATGGACCAAGAGAACCTAGAACTAAATCAAGTAAGTAACAACTAAAATAAAGAAGTTAATTAGTAAAAGCTGAGTACGTAGATCCGTCAATTGCGTCGTTGATTTCTGAAACAAAAGTAGACATCATTTTATATTTAAGAATACGTTATAAGCAAGATTATTATTATTATTTGTCTGTGTTAAATTAGATTATCACGAGACTTTGTTTTCTTTAAATAAAAAACACAGTAATATTAGATAGTGGTAAATACATTTCTAATAGAAGGCCTATTATAGTTATGATATATTTATTATATACATACTTATTACCTTAATCATTCACATATAACATTTTTTTAAGATAAGCAATAGAATAGGTATTGTCGCACTTTAATTATGTAATTTACTAGGTATAAAAGTAAAAATATTTTTTGAAAATTCGTGGTTTATCATCGACTAAAAATAGCAAAATAAGAACTCTGATTTCTAAAAAAATTGATAATTTTTCGGTAAAATAATATGTTTTCATTACATCGCTGTGATTTTTTTTTGTAAAAATAAATCCTCGTGGAAAGGAGGTATCTGCAGGTAGTCACGTGTATTTTTTTATTTTTATTAATTTAAATTAATTTTTTAAATAATATTTTATTCGTTACTTTTAAATATTAATTAATTTGTTTTCTTTTTCAATACTATCTTTTACATCAGCTTACTCGGTCCCGTGAAATATGAATTACTTTTTTGTATAATTGATTATCCTGTTATTTTTTCAAATTCTACTTCAATTTCTACAGAAATAAATAATGTTTATTAATAATTTTATTATTAATATTTACAAATTTTCTATATGTATAAGAATATAAAAAAAATACAACTAAGACAGGCCTGCACATTTAGAAAGGGCCAGTTCAAAAAGCGTAAGTGTACGAGGGCCAAGAGATATAAATAATTTATAAAGCAGGTGGTCGAGGTAGTTTCTTCAGATTCTAAAAAAATCAAAAAAATCCTTCCTTTAGTCGAGCTTCTAATAAAAGCTCTGAGCATTTATACCTCCTAAAAAAAAGATCGTCAACTTATAATGAACCAGGTCCTTTTATTGAGCTCCTACAAAAAGGGATCGAGCTCCTAAAAAATGCAATTGATGCCTATATGGAATTTTATTAATGAAAAAGCGGGCCAAATTGATCAACAGACAGAGGGCCACGAAAACGACAATAACGGGCCGCCTGCAGGCCGTATGTTAGGCAGGCTTGCTGTAGAAGAAAGATCAGTATTCTGAACAAAAGGCTTAGGTGATGCTAGACCTATTAATTAAAAAAGAAATGATTTACTATATCTAACAAATAAATACAAAAATCCGTCCATAGCAGATCCAGAAACTCTTCCTAAAAATAAACATACCTCCGTGTCTCTTTGTAAACCAGCCAAGAAGCCAATAACGATGTTTTAACTTCTCTTAATGTTTGATAAACAACCAAAACAATGCATAAACATATGTTCGTTGTGTAAACATATAAAATTTTAATGTTTTCTAAGGTTTGTCGGCATATCAAATCCTTAGCTAATGAAATACCATGTTTTATGTGTATCGAGATTAAATTCAAAACATTTAAATTCTGTTTATTGAACATGTGTCTCGCATTTGGGGTATTAGCTTTTGTTGAGTTTTATTTTACGGCTGAAGGGTTTCGGTTTTTCTGGATAAAACAATGGTCATGAGTTACAATTTATCCGCTCAAATATAGCTATTTTCATAAACTAAAATAGATGACTATTTTTATTCAATAAAATATAATATGCCACTCCACCAAAATTCTAAAAAACAAAGGCCATTTTACCCAGTTTTAAATTTTTGGTGGATATTTGGTTATTTTTAATCTGAATTTAACTTTAATTCCTAAAGTGGTACTGGGAAACAGTTACAAAGCCTACACAAAACGCTAATAACCGTAGCAAATATGCAAAAGTCACAAAAAAGGATTTAAAAAAATTATAAATATAATTAATTAAAATATTTTAAATATTTAAAAAGATCTTCCTTTCAAAAACTGTAACAAATGCTTTTTGTATTTATCTAAAATCCTAGATTAATTATAAAACCACAAACTTTACTTGTTTTCTAAATAAACCATAATATCATCTATAATTCATAGAGCCTATAATGATACGTTATACCAAGATGCAATTAACTGTACGAGCCGCAGATTAGTATTGTTATTAAGGTGTAGCCATTGTACGCGAGTTGAATACTATACTTTATCTACAACTATTAACTTATTAAAGAATTTTGTAAATTAAATTTTATTCTTGTAAAGCAATTAAAAAGTTGTGAGTAGCATAACAGTAATAATACAGTGTTGATCTGTTTCATAAAAAGATTGATAATTACTGTGATATTTAAATTTTAACAGATTTGATAGAAGAGTTAAAATAATATTATAATAATTTAACTGTAATAATATTACTGTAATGATATTTCTGTAATAATATTACTGTAATAATATTACTGTAATAATATTACTGTAATAATATTATAGTAATAATATTATTATTGTAATAGGATAACTGCAATAATATGACTGTATTAATAATAAAAAATTTAATCTTATTATGATTTTAATTATTATTTTCTTGTTTCAGGTTACCAATATGGATATGGTATGCCTGGATTACCAGGTGGATTTAATCCATTTTTTATAAATCCTGGATGGATAGATGCCGCATACATGACATACGCCTTTCCAGATTATCTCAGACGAACTGCAAATATTCCACAATCTGGAAGCATGCATACGCCTCTAGTCAAAGGTAAGATAAAATTAAAATTTCTCTGTTTTTTATATCTATATTTTGTTGCTTAATTTTTAGAATTGTTTAATTGAAACTAACATTTCCCTATTTTGTTTCAGGATCACCTTTAGCTCCAAACGTTCAACCGCCACACGATTTCTTCATACCGCCTCCAACAGGTCATCCTTCGCCTTTTCACTCTAGTCCAAATTTCCTGACGACAACAGTACCCCAGTTTGCACAAGAAATCAATAAACTGGCCAGTTTTGAAATGCCTTTGAGACCTGTGATGCCCAGTCCCCTAGACCAACTGAGTATGAGGATATCCCCACTTTCGAATAGTCAAAGTATCAGTCCTCAGCTCCCGACGAATGCTCAAGAAACAAAGATTCATTCTACCGTCGATCAATCGTCTTCGTCGGAATGTTCTGAAGATGAAGACATCGATGTGGTGAAATCCGCGTTTGTACCAATTAAGTCGGCTAGTAAGCTATTACAAGAAATTCAGCATCCCGATTCTACTGTTCAGGATAAAGAACCTTTAGACAAATGTGAACTTAAAGCGCCTAATCTAAGGACGGTTAAAAATATTTCGGTTAGTGTTACCTCTCCAAATACAAAATTCACGTCTTCGCCTGCTGTAAATGCCATTAAAGCAGTATGGAGACCATATTAGTTTTTTTATGTATCCTTAGTTATCGTGAAAACTGAAACTTTTGCTGGTATTTTATTTATGGTTTTGTGACATAAAATGACACAAACACTATATTTGTTCTAAGCTCAAATTCACTTGCAGTATTACCACCAGCTATTGTTTTAGTTTTCATAGTACCTCTGGTTTTATTTTTAATTTTACTTGTTGCAATATTGTATAGAAAAATGTACGAAAGCTTTATTTATTTGTATAAATTTATTGTATATAGTGTATAAAAGATGTGTTATAGATATTTGACAGATTTTAAAGAATTTGAGAATGTACTGCAATTGTGATAGCAGATTAACTGATAGATATTTAGGTATTTTTGTACAAATATTATTAGGATTCTTTACTGGATTCTTTAATATGGCAAATAAACGAGTTTCTATTAATATAAAAGTGTGTATTATTTTCAATTTATAATTTCTTTCACATAAGAAAATAACGCTTTCTAATGTAGTACTTACCTACTTTGCGTTTAACTCATTTTCATTGGTACCATATTTCTACTACTAAGTACTACTTTTCTACATGGCATGCGTATAAGTAATATATCCGATGGATGTCAAATAATGTGACATAATCACGATACACAGACTAACGGTATGTTCCTGCGCATGCAGCTGACTAATGGTGACGTCACGTGGGACAGAATTATAAGCATTAAATGGGAGATAGTATATAAAATTCGATATTTTGCAAATTTTAAATTTTATGCAGTTACTTAAGCTTTATCGGTTATTTTGTAATAAATTCGTTTACAAATATGAAGGTTTAAGGTAAATAATACTAAATAAATATTAATTTTTCTCATAAATAATAGGTATTTTGTGACAAAATCCATAACCTGGCCATAAGATAAGTAAAAGATAGACTAAAAATTCAAGTTTGACTAAAATTTGTACTTTCTGGGCGTGGCAGTTCTCTTGCAATCTCTTTTCTTATTAGGTGAAATAAAAAAAGTGTGCAGAAACAAATTATTTTTTTATAAAAAGTAAGTACACAAAAACATTACTTTTTATTTGGTAAATTTCTTTTATCAAGTTAACTTTGAAAATACTCAAAACCAATTTTCCTGTTCATTTATCTTATTCTTATATATGTTTGTGTCATGCTCATGCATGGCATTACTTTAAAAGGACTGTTGTATTGGGATAGGAAACTACTGTTTTTTCTGCTAAAATTTTAAAATACCGATTTATTTTCTTTGCTTAATGAGGCCCGTGCATCTGGTGGAATTCAGTTTCCTTTTCTTGCTTCTATGTTTAAGAGGAATCTCAAAACTACTTTCCTCAAAGTGGATAGGGCAACTTCAATTAAGTTTGTCCTTTTTCCGATAAGAATTTACCCATAATTTGTGGCATTCGGAAATATCTTCACCGCGCAGCCCGGCATTTTAAACATTAATTTAGTTTTTCCCTGTTACATATAGGAAAATATAATCACTACTAACACAACAATAAATAAATTATTAAATTATTTTACACTATTTAATCGAAAAAAGTCAAAATAACTTGAAAGTTCGTCTTGCATTACGTCATGCGCAGTATAGACGAATTTTGAATCGAAAGTTAGTATACCGTGTATCGTGGACATAATATAATATAAAATTTTCAAAATAAAAATCTTACAGAAAGTTATTTAGCATTCGTAAAAATATAAATGAATACTAAAACAATCCTATACTAAAATATAGGCAAAATGACAGTTTTTAAAAGGATGTTAACAGAAAAATGAGTGGATATAATGTCCATATCGCTCGAAGATAAAGTTTGGGCACGACGCCACTGTTTTATACATGATTTCTCTAAAATGGATTGTAATGGAAAAATTTGAGAAAAAGTAAAAATTTTAGTTTGTAGTATTTTCGTTTGTAATAAACTTAGAATATATATAGTCAGGAAGGAGGAATCCTAAACGACATTGGAATCGCGATGGTATCTAATTTTGACAGTGAACTAGACGAATATGGCGACAAGTGTTTCCGGTTTACCAGTGACGTGCTGTCATAAAGGGGCGTAGAAATGCAAATAATAAATTCTCATTTGCATATTATCTAAATTTACCGATTTTTATAAGATATGTTTCTGTTAATAATTTTAATCAATTCCAGTTCTTTGTATTTTACAGAATAACTGTGTCGTCCGAAAAACTTACAATATTTTCATCTGTATTTAAACGACAAATTATTTAAAATAAAATTAAACAAGATAGGACCTAAGACGGTATCTTGAGGCATGCGATATGCTACTTATTTCCTTACTTGAGATACTAATTCTATTTGTGTTCGTTTTTGTAAATAACTTTGTAATAAATTATATAGGGTGCGCTTTACATTCATACAATATACTTCTATTATACGAAAAAAACGGCACATGATATAGTTAGTAAAGAATTTATTTCCTTTTACTTTTCAACCGGACCACTTTTATTGTTGGAACAGCTGTTGGTAAAAGTCTTATTCTTGGTTTTGAGGAGATCAAAACAATCTGCTTTAAAATAACGCGAACGAAAAAAATTAGGATATTTTGGCTCACAATTTGTTTGTTGCATGAACTCAAGCCATAACTTTGTTTTTTGAGAATCTTTAGGAAACCTGAAAATTGTCTACCTGGGATTAATTTATATAATTTGTAAATCTAGAATCTTTAAGAAATCTGAAAATGGTTTACTTGCACTCAGTTTATAAATCTGAATTGAACAATAATTTATTCATTTTAACAACCACATAAATATCTTAAAATTGCTTAAATTAAAAGAATTGTTTAAATAAAAGTATGTATACCCTATAAACTATGAGACTACACCAATGAGCACAGTTCATCGCAGACGCACTAACCATGTTTGTTTACAAATTTAAAACATTAAAACATTTTAAAATCTTTAAAGTGGTTGAAAATTGAGAGAACAGAATACTTGCTTATGAAATGTAGATTATTTCTTTCTAGTTTTAGCTATTTTGCTATATCCACAAGACGAACAACTGACCATACTACCTTGTTTGTCTTTTAACGCAGAAAATTTAAAATTAACAGTAATATTAAATAAATACTAAAACACTAAACACTTTTTAAAAATATCTACAAAACGTACGCTTGATGAAAGTTTAAATTAACACATAAAACATCCAAATTATTAACAAATTTTAATCACTAAAATTATAAACCAATTTTAGAAACCATTCATCATATGATGATGAGTCATCCATAGTACAACTTGGCTACCACTTCCGTCAGATCGATTAGATTAACGCGGACATGGCATGCTCCTTCTTGACTATACATATTCTAAGGTAATAAATATACTAGGTGAGCCAAAAAGAAATGCAAATATTTTAGGAGGTGATAGAATATTGAAAATTAAGGTAAGTTTTCTATATAGACTAATGTCCGAAATTTTGAAATATTCAAAGAAAGGGAAAAATAAATTCTTCCGTTCTAACTTCCAACCGGACCAGACAACTCCAAGTTTTTTGGAAAACCTAAAAATTTTAAATCATTTGATTTAATGGTAAAACAAAAGAAAAAATATGTAGAGGTGTAGTTAAAGGAGGTGGGTTGGGTATTTCTACCACTATTTTTTTATTTCAATCTTTTTCATAGGTTTTTCTATAAAAAGTTATTCTTGTTTAAACGCTATAAAGTGGACCGTTTTTGAATAATTTTGCTTCTTAATTGTATTTACAGACTAGATAATTTGTTATCATAATATGATAGCATTGCAAAAGTTTAATCATAAACGAATCTTATACATAAAAACTTAATAAATAAACTATAATATACTATATTGTTTAAAACGTAGGTTTAATATTTTTTTGTGGAGAAATGCTTTTTACGTACCCCTTGCACCAGGGAGTGCGAAACTGGCACCAATGCACTACCCTCTAAGACCTTTGAAAGAGACTCCGGGACCAATCTAATTATTTTATGTTCTGAGCTTTCAGGTAGTTTCCTCTATATGTCTCTCATTTCCTGATAGTTTTTTTCCTCGGCTTCTTTTTTCTTCATCACTTTTTAAATAAATTCCGCAATTTTTCTCACTTTTTTCTACTTTCCAACATAACCTACTCTATATTATGCGGGGTTAGATGGCCCATTGTTTTCACCAAACTAGTTTTTTCATAATCCAGCGGATACACACAAAGATCGTGTGTTCTGGCGTGTCTGCTTCATCGCAGTACATGCAGTCTACATTAATTGCCTTGCTGTATTTAAGGTCTGTGAACTTGGCACCACAACATTGCAAAAAAGGGTCAAAAATATGTGAGACGTTTGCCCATTATTGCCCATGAAATAACTTTTTTGTCCACCCTCTGTTTTCACAATATATAGAAAATAATTTTCGCGGGCCAACTTCCAGACAAAAGTTAAAATTTTCATAATTTAATTTGACGGCCAAATAGCATTTCGTTTGCCCACGTTTGCCCATAAATTAGTTTTTTTAGAAAAAAAAAAAAAAATTAAAGAAAATAAAAAAAAGAAACAAAAATATTCACAAAAATGCAATATGATAACTGCATAAGATAATCATTCGTTAGCCCATGTTTGACCATTTTTTTGTTTCACAAATTTCCATAACGGTCTTCAAAAAAAAAATTAATTAAAAAAGGGATTTGATGACAATTCCACTATCCGAGATTTATACGAGTTTATTTGTTATAAAAAAAATGGGCAAATATCGAAATAAAGCCAAAATATTTGTGAGTTACTAAAAAATATTTTTTGATGATTGCCCATGTTTTAAAAAAAATCCTCGTCTAATAAGGGTGCTTAAACTCCGATAACAGTGCATTTATGTATTTATTAGTGATATGAAAATGGGCAAACATCAAAATAATTCCAAAAAAAAGTGTAAGTTGCTAAGAAATGTATTCTGAGGATTTCCCATTAAAAAAAATCCTCGTCCGATAGGGGGGCTTATTTTTATTATTTTTATACATTTTTATCGCTTAAATTAAAAAAAAAATAAGTATAATCAATAAAAATCAATTACCATTAAATAATATCGTGAAGTTAAAATGTATAAACAGAAGGATTTTTATTTATATTTTTATTTTTGTTCAAAAGAAAATAGAACGAATGATTAAAACTGGTTTCCTATCAGTTAGTCACAAAATTGCATTCCAGCCACATACAATAAACAAAGGCAGAAATCTTGAAATTTAGTCCTTGCTGAACATTTAAGAATAAAGGGATGTTGAAAAACATCGTAAAATGATAATTTATTGTTTCTGATAGCTACTATTTCCAGTATTACTGTTATTATTACAAAAATAAAGGTAATTTTTCTCCTTATTGTACACCTATTTATTTATTTCTTTGATTTAATTTCCACTTTGCTACTGAAATTTCAAAATTCTAACCATTCCTACTCTATTTATTTCCGAATCCATATGC